CCCCAAAACCCCAAAACCCCAAAACCCCATTTGCAATTTCGAAGAGTAGATTAGAGAGTTAGATTATTCTTAAAATTCTTTAGCTGAATTCCATACTTACAGCCACTATATAAATAAGATACTCATTCTGACTTAATGAAGATAACTTCATTATTCAGACTTTATTACTAATATGAATGAAATTTCATAAAAGGGTCTTTTTTCTATGGTCCCAGTTCCACTTGTAAATTTGAGATTCCTTCAACCCCAATATATCTGAGAGGCGCTTTATTTGTTCTTTGTCCCAATTAGGATTTTGATCGAACTCCTCAATGAGAATATTATGCTGGTATAGATTTTTCCTCTGTCTTCTACGCTTTCCCTTGGCTTTCATTTGGTCGCCATTAGTGTTTTAATTAGAGTCGGCATCCTCATCCAGAGAATTGTCGAAATCATTCTCCTCTCTCTCAAGAGCTGCACTGTATCGAATGATACTTTTGATCTTCTAGAGAGGCTCTTATCTGTCTTTAGTAAACAAACCATCCACGCAAGAGTTGAGATTTTCCTCAGAACTTAAGAAATATTATTCAAATGAAGAAGAGCTGATTCTGCCGCTTTAATTTTATACATTTCTTTTGGTTTGAAGCAGGGTATCAGATGAATTCTTGGAGTGCGGGGTGATAGACTTCACAAAACTGCGCTCTGAGTCTGGACTCGTTGAGCATGAGGGTGAAATGTATTGTTAAAATGCTTTCACAAGTTTTGATTCAGATGAGAATGAAGTCCTAGAAACACAGCCTTCATATGAAATTTTATGTGGTATCATAAATTCTTATTTTTATGTTTTTGTTTGAGACCCCTCTTCAATCTCCTCATCGATCAAGTTATCAGACTTTTCTTAATAACTTCTGTATTTGATAGGGGTTTAAAGAATAGGACTCTAATTTTCTTGATCAAAGTCAAGCTTCATAGGTTAGATGAGGCTTAGTATTTAGGATCTTTATTTCTTAAGTGTTTCGTTCTAGATTTAAATCATATTTAGTAATACAGCTTTTGATATGGGAATATTTTCTTGCATTTGAAAAGGAGAAATCCTTTAAGCAACAGGCTTCTTCAAGACAGGAGTGAAAGCAGAGCTACTCTCATCGTATTGGAAAGTTTTAATAGGGGTAAAGGATTCCTGATTTTCGATATATTAAGTAGTCATTGCGGGTTTATTTTCTATTTAATTTGAAATAAATTATTAGTATCTGTTTTTAAGAAGAAAGCTAGGAACAAACATTCGAGAGTCTTCTCTATTAAACAATCTCCCACTGGTCAGTACTCTATGAAATATTAAACTTCTTAACTTCAACCATATTCTCATCTCACTCTTATCTTATCTCATGGGGTTTTGGGGTTTTGGGGTTTTGGGG